TTTATTGTTTTCTCACCAATCCCACCCTCACCCTCCTTCCTCCAACCCTTCCATTCTTACTCTTCCTCCCTCCCCCTGTTCTCCTCCTCTCCAGATGTCCTGTTCCTATCTTCCAGACTCCCTTGCTTCTTTCTTTCCTCATTGCCTCCTGTGCTCCCAGTCACTCAAAGCTAGGTTGACTTCCTGACCTCCAGAGGCCCCATTACAGCAATTAATGACCCCCCTTCACTTATATTTTTGGTCCCTCTCAGCCTATGAGGACCGTGCAGGCTTTAATAAATACATTTTATTATCTGGAGAAAGGGTGTACAGATATTTAAGGGTTATCCATCAGTTTTCAGTAAGTTTGTTGACTGATTCTACATATTATTGCTTTACACCAAAAAGAAGTTAAAGAGCAGCTAAAAGAGAGGGAGAGAGGCCTAAAAGAATCCTGATAAAAATTCATTTTCAACTTCTATGTGTCTAAGGGTGGCGGTTCGGGCAAGACGGGAAACAGCCTCGCGGGTGTCTTTGACCCTGTCCTGTCCTTAACTCCCTGGTGAAGGTGCACCTTGAGAAGCGCACCATGTGACGCTAATGCTCCTACATACGGAGTCATCAGACAGCTAGATATACACAGCCCTCCATGTATACATGGCAGCCCCTCAAGGCTGCATGTTCTCAAGGCTATCAGTGGAGTGAGGGTGGCTGATGTTTGCTCAGCTTTGAGGCCCATTTCCCGTCCCAGCTTTCTCCGAAACACCGGCCTAACAAAAGAGACGTCTGAGAAACTGAAAGGTATCGTAGAAACACAGGGGCTTGTAAAACTAAGATTATTAAGCCCTTGAGAGAGAAGTGATTTAACAGAGGCTCCGCTGAGACTTGTCCCTTTCTTTTCATTGAGTTGGACACAGTCTTCAGTGGTGGTACAGTCTTATCAGTGGGAGCAGAGCTGGGGACAAAAGTGGTGAGGGGTAGGAAGAGAGGGGACATGGGTTGTGTTTGCCCAAAGTGACAGTGCGGGCCAAGGGCTTATCAAGGCCTTTGTAGATTATTGATTCCAGCAGATACATGAGGCACGGGGGCCTGTGTGTGAGAGTGTGGGTTCGAGGTTCTGAGAGCTCTGGCTTGACTCACTGAAAAATGTCAAAGACGTTCAGTTTCAGCACATATTTTTAAGCTAAAACTTCGCTCTCAGGTTGGATATTCTGGAACCACAGACAGCTGAACACGACAGCAAAGCTGTGAAACAAAATGAACTTTCTCACACACATGAACAGAAGTACAGTGACCGAGAAGCATGGGAAGCATTGCTATTCCCAGGCTGGGTTAGGGTTAGGAATTAACCTGGCTTGCAGTGGGGGGCTTATGCTGTGTCCCTGTATTTCATCCTTCAAGGCAACAGCTTGCTAGCACACATACTCACTTGCACACACAGCCTTATCTTCCAGGGTCTTGTCTTGTTTGGCTAACACTGTGTAAATAGAAGGTGCAATACATCTCCTGACAGTTCCCAAAAGCAAAGGGGAGAAACACGTTGGTCAAACAAACAACCAACCCTGAGTCACCAAGAGAGAAGAGATTTCTCAGGCTTTACCGAAACACATGCAAAGACACACAAATGTACACTTACACGCTGTGTGTACAACAGGAGCCTTTATTTAAGGGCCTGGGCCTCTGGCTACCTTTTTAAACGTTTGTCTAAACAGTCTTAAGACAGGAGCTGCTGCAGGAGTGAATAGCTCCCAGCAAGCTGGCCACAAGCTCCTATTGTCCTCCATCATATTTTATTATCTCATCAAAAAGCAGGAAATCCGATTCCTTCTCTCTGGAAAAAAAAGCTTATCCTTCTGTCTCAAAGCAACCTGTCAGGAGAGAGAGATGGAAAGAATGGGACAGAGTTGTTGGGGAGAGGGGGAGCCGGTGAAAAGGAGTGATTAACTGCTTCATTGCAATAAGACCCGCTTTCTCTTTTTTCTTGCCTTCATCCTCCCCTCTTGGTTATTATTTATCCAACACGGCACAAAGCAAAGGTTAAGGAAGCACATATTTATCTCTTTTGTTGATTCTTTTCTGTTTTTCCCTTCCCGTCTTCCACTTTTCATATTGCGTTACATGAAAAGAGAGACAGAAGGACAGATAAAGAATATTATCCCTTTCCATGAAGGCTTTATTTTAAATACTCCTGCCACACAACACATTTTCTTTCTTCTATGTATCTTCCAATTACTTTGCAGGTCAATCTCCCAGTCATATTGGTGAACACACAGTGTAACATTTTTTCAGCACAACTTTCTTTTAATCTAATTTAATTCATGTCTTGACATCAGAAAAGTCCTCTTACATATGCAGCACACTAAAGAAGGTTATCCATATTTGATCCCACATCAAGGTTGGGAGAGTAGAACGTGCTTCATGAGGCAGGCCTTAACTACAGAAGTTCCTGAATCGTGTTATCTACCACGCTCTAAACAACCAGTCAGCTTTGCTTTTGGATGTTTGTACCTTTCTGGTTTAACTTAAGTCACATCATAAAAACAGTATTTTCACAACCCGTGTCTCACTGGGAACTCTCTGGACAATGACCCTCTGTTTTCACACGAGGGTTCACTTAGACATATTTACATTACTTATGATGCGTAAGAAGTAAAGTCCACGTCTGAAAACGGATATAAAGACAGGTGTATTTTGAAACTTGGTCCTCTTAAGGTTGATGCACAGTCACCTTGTTTTTCCTTTTCCAGGCATCACTCCTCTCTCTCACTCACACACACACACACACACACACACACACACACACACACACACACACAAACTAAAAACTCTTCGTCCTTCCCTCTGTCCTCCCCACTTTGTACATCTGTGTTTTAATTTTGGGCTCTGCTGAGAAGTTGTTAAAAAGCCCTATGAAATATGTATGAAGGATTGTGAGCCACGCGATTGGCCCCATTTACCGGACAGCAAAGCGAATGAACGGCCACACTGGATAATCCCCCACAATGCCTCTGGAACAAAGGCCCAACAGCTGACCCTAGAGAAAAGATGAAGGAAGGGGGGGGCTAGAGTAGTGGTGGGAGGGATGGCAGAAAGGGACAAGGGAGGAGGTGCGAGCAGTTAAGGCTGACTGCTGGTCAGGAGGCAGTTCGCTCACCAGCACAACTCTCCCGTAGTGGCAAAACAAAGGCTTGTGGGACAGGAATAACTCCCTCCATTCTGTCGGTCCACGCTCTCTCCTTAGACTCTTCTCAGCCCCTCCTTCCCTCGCCATCTCTCCCCTCCCTCCCTCCCATTCACACTCTCTCCCTCTCGCAGTCAAGAGGATCTGAAATACCAATACCCTTTTCTCCTTGACATTGCTTTCTCCTTGCAGTCAGCGTTTTGCTGTCCTTTTATAGTCAAAACGTCAGGAGAAATTCCATGCAGGAATATTCTTAGTAATGCAGCACTCCCCGCATCTGACGGCGAGAGCGCTGTGCTCCTCTGGCCCGCCAGCGGAGCCTTTTGGGAAAAGCTCGCACACGCAGTCGCACTCACTGACTTTACGACGCGCGCGCACACACACGTGCACACACAAAAAGTTGCCCTCTCGCCAGGGTTATTGTGCCAGTATTTCAAAAGCGACAAGCAGCCCAAACAATGAATTATATCCACTCGTATTCCACTGGAAGGAATACAAGTGGGATTCAATATTTGGGGAATTGGGTTATGGTTTATGTTTTTCCTCTCTGTGTGTCAAACAAAAGCGCGCACACTGGACAAGCTCCTTATTCACAACTCACCTTTTCACTCCCACACATACACACACACACACACACACACACATACAGGCATCTTAGCATCCATTCATCACCCCGAGGGGGGCAGTGGGCTGTCCCATGTGTGTAGAAGAGTGCAAGTGTGTATGAAGAGGCCCGCGTGTGTGTGTGAGCGTGTGTGGTGCCCATCGAATGTGTGCGTGTTCCAGTGGCCACTAACCTTGCTGTGTCCTGACACTCCTGATGAGTATCTGCAGGACACTGGAGGAGAGGAGCGGAGCAGTGTGCGCACTGTCAGGCATTTGGGCAAGCTGCTGCTGTATATATGAGTGTGTGTGACAATATGTGTTTGTGTGAGCATCGAGGGAGGCGGGCAGGGAGACAGTCAGCATTATCCAAGCAGGTGACCCCTGAAGGCTGCATCGCCCTGGAGCTCTGAGTCGAGGAAAGAGACAGAGCCAAATATAATGGGGTAGCTGAGGTGTGTGTGTGTGTGTGTGTGTTTGTACGTGCGTGTGTATACAGAAAGCAATATGTAGAGCTCTGTCACCGTACAGGATGTGTCATCTCCTTGGCACAAGTAGGTGTGCACACTGGTGTGTGTGCTCACGCCTGTATGTGTGTGTGTGTGTGTGTTTGTGTGTGTGTGACAGAGTGTTGGCTTGGGGGAAGGTGTCACAGATCTTTGCCAGACTAATCATCTCCATGGTGTCGGTGAGCGCTGCTGTCAGGGACACTAAAGAGGCGGCGTGTCTCCCCGTTCCCAAAGCATTTAGTACTTCCTCTTTCGCCAGCACCTCTCCGTCGCTCTTCAGTCAGCTCCGCTCTGCCGTTCGGTTGCAGATTTGCAGTGGGAATCATAAACATGTCACGAGCGGCATGTTGCCGCAAGGGAAGTGGGAGGTGTGAGAAACTTGACAATGTACAAGAAGCAGCTTTTCTCAGGCCAACACCTCGATTGGCTTTTAAGGAAGTTGCTTCTCAAAGGACAGGTGATATATGGTTTTACATCCATATCAACAAACTCTGCAACTGAGGAGGATCCTTCATTAGGAGTGAAGCAAAAAGGACCATTAATGTGCAATAAATCTGTGATGAGGGAGGGGTTGCTCTGTGAAATGATCTGTGCATAGATATTTACCATCATCTTACATAGTCTTACTTCACTCTCAGATCATTTAAAGAAAGTTTCATCCAGTGATCAATCGCTGATGAACCATGACTGGGTAATTAAACATTTCCTTCCTCTCTGTGTCCCTGAAGGTCCCTGATCGTTTCCTAGAGGTGGCAGAGATCACACTCAGAGAGTTTTTCAACGCCATTGTTGCCGGCAAAGACGTGGACCCATCCTGGAAGAAGGCCATCTATAAGGTCATCTGCAAACTGGACAGCGAGGTCCCTGAGATCTTCAAATCTCCTAACTGTCTTCAAGAGCTTCTACATGAGTAAATTTCTCCTCCTCCCCGTTCACTTATATGCGCTTCTTTGTTTATTTTCTCTGATTTCATAGAATTGCAAAGTAATTTTTTTTCTTTCCTTTACTCAAACTTAACCTTTATGTTTGTTTGTTTGTTGTTGTTTTTTTTTCATTTTTGAATGTATGGAGTAGCATTCCCAATCTAAGAGCCCTGTGGCAGTTCCTAAATGACCTAGCTATTGTGTTGTTGTTCTTCTATTATTATGGTTATTATATGTTTTGTTTTTCTATGAATCTGATTTGAATAGACTCTAATTTTTGAGTGTTTTTGGACTGTGTGAAGCTTCATCTGTTTGGCCTGTTTTGTGATCAACACAACTTGAGATTTGAGGGAGTTCCTCTTTACACTAAAAACAACACAGGCGGGGTTCCTGAGAGACTGTACATATGGCATCCAAAGGTGCCCCCTCTGATTTTGGGGTTATCCTAATGAACTTCCCCTGCTAAAGTGCAAAGTGGGTGCCCAGCAGACTGTGCTATATAGGAAGTCCCTAACCGGACAGACATTCACACACATGCAAAGAAAACAAGGACTAGTGGGGTTACTGACTGGACTAAAACTGGCCTTGTGGGACTGGTCTGCACTGGTCTGTGGGACTTGGACCAGTTTTCTAATAGCTACTGAGCTCTACCATTTTGAAGTGTGTTTTCCCTGCAAGTAGGGCATTGTGTTTATTGGGTGTACATTATTATTTTGAATACTATTATTATTGTTGTTGTTTATGATTATTATTTGTCATTACTGCTTGCTGAAGGTTGGCACTTCAAGATTTGTTTGTCCCTTGATGCCCTTGCAGACAAAAATAAATTATTGCTATTAATATTATTCCAAAAGGTTTTAGATTCTGGAATATTTTCTCCTCATTCGACATCTTCACCTGTTCTCACTCGGTTTAGTTACTCCATCACTATTTTGTTTGTTCTTTAGATCAATAACCTGGGCAAATTGGGCTTTAATTATCAACATTTTATTTCATTTTCATCTGCAGTGACAACCTTGTCTCGGTAGTATCGTAATAGGGTTCTGGGAAAGAGCCTCTGAAAGTCATCAAGTATATAATGAAAGTGGATTTTTTTTTATTGGTTGCATTTCTGTAGCCGGTAACACATGTTCATCTTTCAGCAAAAAAGGATTTTTTTTTATCTCACAAGGATAATCCACAATATAAGATATTTCAGAATTTTTCATCCTGTTGATTGCACTGTTTACTAAACAGCTTGTGTGATATGAAGGCAGCCTGTTTACTCTTCGCTTTTAGTATTAGTATTCACATGCAGTAAATTACACTAAGAAGATGTTTTGATTACAATTAATACTTGAATACATCAGAATATTGTGGCAACTTAAAGTGCAGTGTTGAAGAAGCAACAGAAAATGACTAAAAGTCACAGATAAGGTCATTCAAAGAAGAGGAAATAGCTGAAACAAGGCCGTTCATTACTTCTGCTTCAAACTGAACTTCCCTCACGTGCAACACGCAGACATTGCTCCTTTTCTCCGTGTTCCCCTGCCCATGAGTGATCGAGCTCCTCTCTCGAAGCAGCAGTTTGAGGTCGGAGGTGAGCACTCACCCCGGGGGTAGATGGAGAGGCTCTCAGCACCACAAAGAGCAGGGACAAAGGTGCAGAGCCAGGAGCAGCCCACACCTGAAGCCGCCTGCTCGGTCCTCCCGTCCCACACCGGCAGCTTCTCAGACCCAAAGTGTGAATCTTTTAAAGCCACAGTGCCCAGATCGCTAAAAGGCATTCCTTTCAGTTTAACCTGAGATCGTGAACCCACTTTTTCCACCTGAGCTGCACATGTATTTCGAGCATTCTTCTAAGGACCTCTCAGGCATTTAAGATTTCAGATAGTTCAGTTTTAGCTATCCTTTGCAATAAGGGTAAGTCTAAAGCAATGAGCTGGCTTGAAGAGTTTTAGTGTGCGTGCGAGCTAGCTGTTGATCTCACCTTGGCGACATTAGCTTACAGCGTGTCTGTGTGAGTGTCACAATAGATCAAAAGGGCCAGGTTGCTTAACCTGCTGACTTGTCTAACCGAGACAAAGCGCCTGACAAAAGGAGGCAGAGAAAGACAGAGACCTACTCCCTTCATTATGTCCCCCTCCTTCTCCTCCCTGGACAGTTTTCTTCTTAAGATCGGGGGCCCTGAGAGAGAGCCCCGGACACATTTCTCACTGAAGGATGGGCCAGGCATTTCGTGTCATAGAGTCTAAAAGAATAAGCCAAGGGCTCTAAAGCACTGCAGACAAAGGGAGAAGGGAAAGGACACTTTTATCTGATGTAAAGATTATTATCGCTCCCCTCCCTGCCCCTTCCTGCAGCTCCACCCTAAAGTTAAAAAGTGTCTGTACCCAAAAGATTAATTTCGGATCATGACATCATATGCACTAAAACGAGGAAGAAGAAGAAAAAAAAACACCTTAATATCATACTGAAAATATTTTTGTCAAGATTTCCATTTCTGGGGTAATTTGATATGTATGATAACAATATTGAAATACATATATGGGCTTTTTTAATAACTATACAATATAAATCTATGGGGAAATATTTAAAGGAATGGAGGGTCTTTGACAGATACTGTTAGAAAGCGTTTCATAAAAGAAATCTTGGAGGTATTTTTAGTGATGGTTTTGTTTAAGTCTGTACTCTGGGTTGTGGGTAGGTTAAGAGCAGTAGCGGTAGACTTTTGCAGCCGTCTTCTTTGTTTTTTTGTATTGTTTTGAATGGGACTCTTCCTGAGATCAGAAGAATAAAACCTTCTTCGTGTGTATGAAATGCTGTAGTGGCAACTGTAAATATGTCAGGATGAAACTATGAAGAGCTGTAAAGATTTTGCTATTATCAAACAAAGAGCCAGAGAAAGGCAAGAGATAGAAATGGATAAATAAATAACTAAATACTTGTTTTTTTTTTAAAAAAAAGGATGACCCACTGTCCTGGACTGAGAGCGTTAGACTCCCACAGTCCAAAAGAAGAGAGTTGTTCATACCCACCCACCCCCCCGACATGCCTTTAACGGGAGTCCGTCTCTCACTGGCAGTGCCCTTGAAGTTGCACCAGCATCGGTTTCTAACATTTTTTCGGGCAGAACGATGCATGCGACTCATGTTGGCGTGATGTGGTCACAGAGTGGCTGAGGAAACTGTCAGTGAAATCAGAAAGGGGCTGCCATCGTAGAAGTGGTTAAGGAAACAGACAGGGACTCCGTGTCACCAGAGGACTACAGTAGTGCCATGGAGGGGGAACATGTACAGTTACGTTTTAACAGAGACTGCAGAGAGAGAAACAGTGATTTATACCCTTTTCTACTGGGGTGAAACAGATGGGGAAAGTTTGTGGACTTTCTGTAAACCCTGCATTACGTGCTTGTGTGTGTACTTGTACTGAATATGAGTGTGTGTCTGCGTGAGAGAAAAGACCGATTATGAGAACCTGTGAACCAGTGAGTGACACAATTCTCAACACTGTGGCCCCTCCCCCACCCCTGGGAGTACCATCCTGACATGTAAATGATTCTCATTAAGCGTTGGCAACATGTGTTTAGTGTGTGCGCGTGTTGTGATAATTTCCTCTGATCCGTTTTCTGACCTGTTTGAAAGAGGTTTTTCTTTCTCGATGCTTTCAGTAGTAATTCCTTTTTTTTTTAATATTATTATTATAATTACATTGCTCCTCTTTTATTGTAAATATCAATGACGTGGACTTACAGTGATAAATACTGCCTTTGTATAACTTAGCAATATGTTATGTAAATAGTGTTTTGTTGATGCTTTTTGTATGACATTATTATTCAATTCTAGAGCAGTAATTCCAACTCGAGCAGCCATGTTTCTAATACAGTCTGAATGGTTCCACAGGTTGTAAAATAAACTCATGACATGGCTGCTTTCTTCTGTTACTGGTGTCTATTTGTCTTGCAGATTTTGTGTAATTTATTTGTTTAATTTATCCTAATTTATTTCATGCTGTTTTACTTTGTTTTTCAAACAGGGAAGGCTGCACTGCATTTAAATACATAGAATCAATTAAAATAATTCCTCCTTACTTATTGAAAAATGTATTTAAAAAATTGGAATCTAGTATGTTTGTTCAATAGAAAGTAATAATGAGTGGAGATCTTGGCAGCTAAACAGAACTGGACAGTTGAATAAAATGTATGTGAGGGCAAAGGGCAAACTAGAAAGCTTAAATTAGTTTGGAGAAGTTTTGTTGTTTTTTTTTCTTGAGGTTTTTTCCCCCTGTATTGCTTTTGCCCAGCCCAAAAACAACCAGTAGTCAAATTGCCTTTTGTGCCTTCACCCTCTATGAACTGAATGTATGTGCAGTATATATGCAAGCTTGTGCAAGATGAATAAAAATTAAAATAAAAATGAAAAATAGAGTGGAAAATCACAACTGTTTGTGGTTTATTATAGGAGACGCACTTAAAGGAAGCTTTGTGTGTGCAGATTTTTCATGAGTGGAAAATCATAACTGAAAAAGAAATAATTTGACTTTATTACAAAGTGGTTTTATCTTGATATTTCGAATCTTCTTTTCCAATGTTTTTAGCTGATAGTGATTTAAGCATTACATTTTTGTTCACCATCCTCTACAAGCTGCAATGAAGAACATTTATGCCACATGGAACCAACTTTAACTGGGGAATTCGTAATGTAAAAAACACACTCATAATTAAACAATAATCAGGCAATTACAATGTTACAGTGGAATAAAGAAATCATTCACATGTGTTAAATAATTTGTAAATTCAACAGATTTATACAGTAAATCTTTTGAAACTGAATTAAGGAGCAGGTCAGAGACGGAAAGACTAAGTTAGTTTTTTATTTTCAATATCAATTCATTTAGGAATATTTTCTGCAAAAAGTATTTTTCTGTACAATTTATTTACTTTTTTTTTCATCAAATTTCAGCTAAATCAAAAACACAAACTCTTAAGAGACTGTTCAGAGAAATGTGATAGG